CGGTCAGCATCCAACCTCAAACCTGAAAGGAACTGCCCAGGCCAGCACACGGATGGAGCTGGCAGCACTATTTCACATCGTGGTCTATGGCTGCATTCACCTTTCAACGCCTGAGCCCATCGTGGGGCCAGCACACGGCATGCAGCGCAGCTCGAGGCCACAGGCATGGTACAAGGCGCGGGTCAGAGGGCAGCAGCTGCGCCCAGAGCCGCGGGCACGGCGCTCGTTCTCCCCAGGAGCTCCAAACAGCCGCCGGCAGCCGTCGGGGCATCTCAGAAGGGGCCCTTCCTGCAGCGCCCGCAGCCCACTGCCACGACCTCGCCTCGGGCCGGGCACCAGCAGGGGCAACGGTCGCGATCTTGCCCCGAGACCACCGCGAGAGACAGCGCCGGGGGCCCCGACCTCTCCACGCCCTCTCCCCCGTCACGCAGACCCTGGCCCCGCCGCCCCTCCGCGCTCCGGGCTCCGCGGGCGATCCCGGTCCCGCACTCCCTGTATCGGCTCCCCCCGCGCTCCGGCACCGCCTCGGGGTCTCCCCCCGCCGCTCGTCCCCTCGTACCGGTGCCGGCGGCCGCGGCGCTCCCGGCGGCGCAGAGCAGCATCGCGTGGGTGACAAGAAGCCGCAGCGCGGCCGGGGGGACCCGGGCCCGGCACCCACCGCCCATGGCGATAGGCAGCTCCGCCGCGTCCCGCGCTGCCCGGCCCGGTCCCGCCGCCCCCGCCCCCGTCGCGCCTCCTCCCGCCCCTGGCGGCACGGGGCCGCCTCCAGCCCGGCCCCCGGGGGGACCCCGCGCTCCTCCAGGGCCGCGCCCCGCTCCTCGCGTCCCCGCGTCCCGTCCCGCCCCGTGCCCCAGGGCGGCGGTACAGCTCGGGCGGCAGCGCCGTGTCCGAGCCCGGCATCCCGGTGGTTGTCCGCAGCCGCCAACGGCGGAACAAATGGGGTTACCGGGAGCGTCGCCGTGCCTCCCTCCTGGCGCTGCTCCCAGCCCGGTGCCCGCGGGCCAGGATCGGGCCGGCAGGCTGCAGGCGCTGTGCGGGGCAGCGCCCTGCGGAGCGCCCTGGGCCGGCGGCGGGGGACGTCCCCGGGCCTGGTGGCACCGTCCGGGCTGCTCCAGGTGGAGGGCAGCAGCCGCGTTTGGGGCTACTGGGGCTTTGCTGTCACCTCTCAGAGCTGCAGAAGCCCAAAACAAAGAGCGGCCACACACCGTTCCGCACCGCTCCACACCGCACCAATCAGACGGGCGCCGTGCAGCCCTCCTGGAGCACCACGCGCTGCTCCTGCGCTCGGGGTGAGCCCTGCCTGCATCCAGCACGGCTCCGCGCGGGAGGGCCGGGGGATACGGCACAGCTGGGAGGGGGGCTCCGGGAAGGACCGGTGCGGAGCCGCGTGGGCGCTCCGCCGTCGCTCCACCGCAGCCGGGGGCGGTGGAAGGGGACACGGCCGTCGCCATCACCCACGTGTGCGTCGTGCCGAGCTGCACGGCTCCGTAGGGAGGCAGCAGAGCACCGCCAATGGCAGCGCGGAGCCGGGAGGAGCGCTGGGAGGCTCAGAGCAACTCTCGGCCCTCCCTCACTGGGACTTCTCCCGGGGGCTGCAGCAGAGCTTTTGCCTGTGCCGGGGGTGGCACAGGGACACCGAACCGGCAGGGTCGGCACCGCAGAGCTCCTTCTGTCCCAGCGGCGGTGTGCCGTGCGGGAGCTGCCCTGGAAGCCGACAGCCCCGCTTCCTCCACCCTGTGCTTGGGGTCCTGCAGGTGTGCGTCCCCAGAGCTGAGCACCCACGGGTAGATCCGGCTCTGTGCAACCCTGTATGAGCTCTTTGAGTGGGGATGCGATTCGGGGGTAGATCCATCCCGAGGCAACGCCGGGCTGACAGCAGAGGAGCCAGAGCCACCGCCGTGCTGCTTCACCCTGGGGGAAAACCGAGAGTGCCACAATGAGTGCCGATGGCCACGAGCACGCCGCGGCATCGCTCCTGTCGGGAGATGTGGGGCAGCTCAGGGTCGCAGCTCTCCCCGGAGCTGAGCAGGATCTGCGGTACCCACGCTCAGTCCCAGCCCTTCCCTGCAGCACGGCGGATGAGGGCCAAGCACTTCCCCAGGACAGGGAGCTGACAGGCGCTGTTTGGGGGGCTACAAATCAGAGCTGAAAGGCCCCGGCTGGACAGGCTGTCTGGGAACTCGTAACCTGAGCCCCAGGAAAGAAGGACTCAGGAAAACGCTTTCAGCAATCATATTCATCATCTTCAGCCTGGCTCATTAGGCTCACCGAGCCCAGCTCCGCCACTGCCAACGCCTCCCGCGCACAGATAGAGCTCAGACAAATAAATGCTTCCAGCTTCCCACTGGATGCAGCGGGTCAGGGAGCATCTGATGCCAATTACCTGCAGTGTAGGGTTCTCTCCCCAGCCCTAGCACCCGGCCCTCTCTGTGAGTGTGGGTGCGGGCCCCTGCGTGGCCCCATGGCTCTCTACTTCCCATGGGGCAGTCAAGGGTCTCCCATCCCTCGCAGGAGGAGCAGCCCTATACCAAAGGGATCCTCCCTGCCAGAAATGGGACCGGCACAGCCATGTGGCTTCAGTGAGTGTGGCTGTGAAATGGGCACAGCCGTGCTCACACAGTGGCTCTTCAGGGGCACCGCATGCTTCCCCTGCTGCAGGAGGGATGTCCCTGATTGCCCCAAAGGTCGGTGTCCCCGCACTGAGGCCACGTGTCAGGGACCCTGGGCAGGACGCAGTCACTCAGCATCAACGCTGGGGGCCAGGAAATTGCAGCAGACATGAACCTAAATACACCGTGTGTCACCCCCAGGTAATCAGGGCTCGGGCAGATTCTGGCTGACAGCTTAAATGCTTTAATTCTTCGGACGCTGCATTTCAAGGGGGTCCCATGTGCCATGAGCTTCTCCCTTCGAGCTGAAGGTTTGTCTGTAATTGGAGGCATGTTCCATTCCCCTGAAACTAGCCAGGTTCCCGCTGGAGGAGGGGGCTGCGGGAAGGCAGCAATTTCCCTTATGGAATTATTTACCTGATTAGAGAGTTTATTTTATCAGAATTGCTTCAGAATGGGGCAACTCAGTGTGTCCAGCACGGGGAGCTCCCTGGTGGGGCCGGCGGCCTGGAGACAGGTAATTTGTGTGCTTAATGGGACTAATCCACCAGCAATTACACCAATAGATTTCACGGCTGCAAAGTGCTCTGTTCCCATCAATTAAAAATCTGTTAAGAAGATTAGTGCAAAAAGGTATCAAAAGAAACCCAAGAGCTTCTTTCCTCACCGGCCCCCGAACGCGTGTGTGGGAGTGCTGCATTGCTCACAGGAGCGCTGAGATCAGTCCTTCGAGGTGAGGGCTCCGCAGCCAAAGGAACCACTGACAGTTTTCCCTGACTTTCCTACCAAGAGGTCCTTTATGTTTAATTACAGTTTGTTTAAATTAGCCCTGATTGCTAGTGCGGAATGCGGGTTTAAATATCTTTCAAAGGCACTGTTATGTGCTGGTGGGGGTAGTGGGACTGCCCAGACAGCAGTGCCCAGGACAGGCGTCCCACGCGGGGCTGCCCATGGGCTGAGCACCCTCTGGCCGTGCTGACCCCATTGGAACAGGGCTGGCCACCCAGTCCTGGGCTGCAGTGGGTGTCCCTGGCATCCACATGCCCGTGTCCCCGCCGGGCCCTGCTCCCACCGGAGCTGTGCTGGGCAGCATCCACTGCATTGCTCATTGCCGACAGCATCGCTGCTGCCCATCGCTCCCATCGCTGCCCACAGCCGGACCCACAGCAACACAAAAGCTCATTCCCAGCAGCTGAAGGTGCCATTTTCACGGCTTGGCTGAGCAAGGAAGTATTTTTTTGATCTCTTAAAATCCCAAATATTATCTGACAGTTTATCTTGTTTCTCGCATCCGTGTCTTTGCAGCAACGCCAGCTCATTTACATGTGTATTGCGCCTGCCTCCACGGGTGCTGAGGTCAATTGAAACTCAAGAAAAGAGGAGAAATTTATGCAAAACTGTTGATTGCATTTGTATGTAATGAAATCATCCAATATTCATCTGACTATAGACTCTAATCTGAAAGGAGAAGTGAAGGACATAAGAGTCACTGGAAAGCAATAATGAGCTTCTGTAGTGATTAAAAAAGCACTTGAGCTTTCTGAAAATCCAGCCAGAAATCGTGTCTAATCAACACGGAATATAGGAGGCAGAGATTACATTGATACATTTTGCAAAGCTCACTGCTGAAAATGTATGCGAGCTGTAAACTCTGACATGCCATCCATGCTCTGTTTTATACAAATCCGGGAGGCACACAATCAGAGCCCAGGCTCATCCCTGGCACAAAGCAATCTCGGTGTCTCTGCTCGATGACTCACAAGGAGTGCAATCACATCTATTTTGAAGAGCAATGTTGTTTTTTAACTGTGTTGAGAGCTTCCAGCTTCCTCCAAGTTTTTCCTGCTGCTCTCTCCCACTCTGGTTCCCCTCTGCAGTTCGGCTATGCTGGTTGCAGGAGCTCACCCTGCTCCCCTGGCACTGCTGACCCCTGCACTGCCCTGGCACCTGTGGGTGCTACTGGGCCACATGATGAGGTGAGACCTCTGGGAGCCCCACAGAGCCCACTGGGCAGGGACAGGGGGACCCGATGGGTGGCAGTTGGCTCCCAGCTCAAGGGGTCTGGCTATAGCCCTCCTTGTGTCCCACCACCCTGTGAGTCCTCGAGATGCTTCCTGCCACTGCACCCACTTCATTTGGTGGCCAAAGCAGCGTCACTGAAATCAGTGCTGCGTCACAGCCGTGTTTTCTAGCTGTGGTCTCTTTTCCTCCTGGGTTGTTCAGCACAGCTGGAGCTCCTTCTCCACCCTCCAATAGCATCAGCTGCAGCTTATCAGCTCTGGGTGCAGCCCAGGCTTCAGCTAACTGAGGGCTTCCTGCTGATGCTGCGGCAGGAAGTGTTTGCCTTTTATTTCCACTTTCCTCTGCTGGTATGGTTGGATCAGGGCTGGCAGCCTGCAGGCTCTGTGGAGCAGCAGCAGAGCAGGTTCAGCACCTGGAGCCATTGCTGTGAGCCAGCTCACATGGGCACAGTAAGTGCTGTGTCCCTTCTCCTGGGTGTTGGCTGCCTGCACTGCGGCTGATGTGTGCCAGGCTGTGTGTGTGTGGTTGGTGCCATGGTGGTGGTCCTATGTGTGAAGGTGCCAGGGCTGCAGCTGCTGCTTTTGGCCCTGTCCTGCTGTGTGAGGGCAGGTGTGGCTGCTGTGTGCTACTCCCTTGGTGCTGGGGGTAAGGACAGCCAGTGGGTGACATAGGAGCTGTGTCCCCTACTTGAGGAATTCCTCTCTGCAATGAGAAGCCTCTGGGGTGCCCTCCAGGTGTGTCCTGCATAGCTACAGGGAAACCCTTCGGCCCTTGGCTGCTGCTGGGATGCAGAGGCTGCAACAACGGCAAAAAAGCCGAGTTGATAAATGTCAAAAGAAATACAGTAATCAGCTGAAAGCAATTTACTGAGCCATGTAACCGCCCTGGGCTCGCCATTTTCCTTTATTCATTTATCATGGTAAGTGCTTTGGCCAAAATACACAAAGCAGAGAAATTGTTGACATGTGGGGCCCTAGCAGAGCAAATCCTTCATCCTTGTCCCCCTCCCCACTGCACACAAACTAACTTTTTGGGAGTTGTTTATTTAAGGACTGCAGAGCACTTGGTGCTCTTTGAACCCAACTGCTCTGGGAGAGGGGCTGTGCTGTTGGCCACCACCTTCCCTCCCTCTTGCCATTGCCTGAGGCTGTTTGCTGCTGTTGGGAAGTACCTGCTGGCAACCAAAGGCTGAGGTATGTGCACAGAATCCCATTCTGCTCCTTCCTCCTTCCCTCTGGAGCATGCCACCAGCAGCACATATGGGCAAATGACAGCTTTGCAAAGTTCCCAGGCTGATTTGGACTTTATTTTGAGCAAGAATAAATGATAAGGATCACACAAGAACACTGCTGGATTTTCCCTCCATGTTGTGCTTTCTTCTATCAGTATAGGTTGAGAACTGGTAGAAACAACAGAGCTGGGCTGCACAATGGGCCTGCAGCCTGTTGAGGCTCAGACACGAAGGAAATGGACTGGTGAGGTGGTCATGCATCTGGAGGCTTGAGCTTCAACTCTTGCTGAACTGCTACCTGAAGCAGAGGGCAGTGTTACCTCCTAGATCACAGCTTATGCTGTGGGAATCCTTTCAGTAGCCTCCAATTGTCCTTAATGTTTTATTTTTAATCTTACTTCACCCAGTTCTGTTGACACTTGAATGAAGAACAGCAGAGACTTCCCCCCTCCCATACAATCCAGGATCAGAAATCTCAGCAGCCAGGGGGTTCCAGTGCCCAGGTCTGGGGGAGAGCCACCCCTGCCCATCACCTGAAGCTGCCTGGCTGCAGGCTGGGATGGCAGTGGATACAGAGCAGTCCGTTCTTGCTGGAAGGGGAGTGTGTCCACACGTGGTGTTTATCCAAGCAGCTCCTTGGTCTTCGCTGCCAGCAGCTTGTCCATCTCTGCTGCAGCACTGTCTGCCATTTGCTGGATCTGCGGCAGCACAGCACAGGTCTGAGTCTGCTATTTTCTTTATGCATGAAATTTCTTGTACAAAGAACTAAGTGGCTATCATTGAAGCTCTGCCCAGTGATTAGATACTCTGATAACAAGGGACGGATGTGGCAAGCATATGAACAGTACCAAAATGTGCATCTGTGTATTTTGGGTGAGTGATGGGCGCACATGCAGACTGAAATTGGAGCCTCTGGGGCTTTTCTGCACTGCTTCCCCAGGTCTGACTAAGATGCACTCAATTCTCAGGTATATGAGCATATGACCTCTCCTCATGCTGAAAAATCTGGATGAAAGTGGAAGTCAGATGTGAGATACTACCTCTACATCTGCCTGCTATGGAACAACCACCTCCCAGCAGGATTCAGTTACAACAGCACAGCCATTTTTCCTGCTCGCAGAAATGCTCTCTGCGTCAATGTTTATTTTTGTGAGCACACAGAGAATAGTTCTGAGGCATTTGGAAGGTACCTGACTTCAGCTGATAATAAACAAATGGCCAAAAAGTCACAGCCTGCTTCAGAGGCATCAGTTCAACTTGTGCCTGAGTTTATGCCCAAGCAATTGACTTTAGTGACATTTGCTCTTAGGGAATTAGGCATGTGCTTAAGTATTTTCCTGAGTCAGAGCCAAAAACTCCTAATGGAGAGAATCTTGCTAGCCCTTTCATTAACAAGAAATTGGAGCAATCCTTATTAGCACCAGCTGTTTAGTGATGTCCAGGCTCTGTGTAAGTGGTGGTACAATGATGGGCGTGGGCAGCTTTGCTCTCCATCAGCTGGGTTGTGTAACAATCCTCTGCACTACGAAAGCTTTTGAGGAAAACTTTGTTTTCCTGTTTCAGTTTACAATTGTATACCGCATGTAATACCATAAATTTGGCTTTGAGATTTAAGCCCCAACTCTTACAAAGAAATAGCAAACACAGCAGCTGCTGCCTACTCCAAAAAGTCAGCTCAGAGTCACCTCATTTCTCAGTGCTGGAGTTCTGTCAGCTGTGGGAAAAATGCTCTCCCTCAACCCACTGAGCCAACAACTGCCATATGCTGCAAGGAACTTACCTGCTTTTCTAGCAGCCAGATGGTGTCCTCAGACACTTTGCTCTTGAACTTCTTCACCTGGTTGATGCTTTTACTTCGCACCTTTCTCAAGGCTTCTTTGGATTTGTTGGTGGACTGCTTGGCGAGCTTGGCCAGGTTCTCCCTGTGTTCTCTGGTTACTCTGTCAGTGAGGAGGAGAAAAAACAAAGATCAATGTAATTTGTAGCACAGCCAGACTGATTTCCTGCAGGGTGGGCAGGCCTCCACACAGCACCCTTGGGCTGTGCTCAGATCATGCTGTGCTGTGACTGCTCACAGGGGGCTTTCATCCCTCTTCAATCCCCTGAGCAAATCGGCTGCCTCAAATGGAAAGTTCCTACTGCAGCCCCAAGCTGAAGGGCTTGGACTGAACACGCTTGTTTCGTGGATGTCACTGGCGTGCCTGGAAGTCATGCTGAAGCATTTAATGTCTTTCTTCCGCTGCCAAAGCATCTGGGGAAAGAGGGAAAACCCAGCTCCACACCCAGGATGCAGAGCAGAGAAGTGCAGCTTTCCTGCAAAGCTGTGAGGGAAGCTCCATCCATCCCTGGCCCTCAGTGCGGTCTCCATGCAAGTGCCAGAGGTTGAGTTCTGCACCTGGGAGAACTCCTAATTCACTCGACCTTACCATGACCAGGCCTCTCCACTGACACACCTGGATCACGCCTTGTGACAAGGCAGCACTGCCAACAGCTCTGGAGTGAGCAGCTCATACAGAAGGCACAGAGAACACTGGCTGCAGTTTGCCCCACGCGGTGCCACTGCTGCGCTGCTGGGAGCAAATCCCCAACTCTTCATCCCGAATGGGAACCACAGTGCAGCATGAGCCTGAACCCAACACAGGATGAGCTGACACGTCATCTCAGCTCCGGTAATGCTCCAGCACCAACAGCCAACTGCTGTCAACATCAACTGTTGGTGCTCAACAATAATATTTTAACTATTTTTGTGGCTGTTGCAGTTTTGACATTACTTTAAGAATGCAAAACGCAGCACACAGAAGATGCTGCAAAATAAACATTTCATATGGAATACTTTGAAATTGGCTGCAATGGCCTGAGTGAGTGGAACACCAAGGCCAAGATCCTTCCTGCACAGAGCTGAAGAAGCGTGGGGTGAGGGCTCCTCAGCAGTGCTCAGTGTGGACTGTGGGAGCTGAGCCCCATGTGGCAACCCCTCAGTGCCCTCCTGTAGCAGATGTTTGCAGAGGCTCTGACTGTTCCTGAGCACTGCCAGTTATTTCTATCTCAAGGCAGAGGTGAATCAGCTTTCCAGAACTGACAGGAACTTCATACCCCTAGGAGAGCAGAGAGGCCCAGAGCAGAGACTCAGCACAGCCCCTGCCAGGGGATGCACTGGGGACAGCATCTGGTGCTGCTGAGGGGCCACTGCTCAGAGCAGGCTGCAGCCAGGACCTGAATGTCTGATTGGAAGTGAGCGAGGTTACTCATGGTTTCCTGTGCATCCCAACATCGATGCCTTTAGGGCTTCTCTTTTTCAGAATCCCAAGCCAGAGGTCCTGTGGCACAGCTTGCAGACAGAGGTCTGCAGGAGGTCAGATTCTCAGGCAGCGTTTTGGGAGGGGGAAGGGAAAGAGATCCCTGTCTGCTGAGCTGGGAAGAGGGAGCTGCTGGGTGGTGAGGAGAGCTGCTCTGCAGGGGCTGCTCCAGCTGGGGCCAAGTGCAGCTTGCCTTCACTTCCCTGCTTGTGTTCAGCTCTGGTGGTTTGTGCTGAGGGTATCACTCGCCTGCTTGGGGCTGCTGAGCCTTTAAGGAAATGTTTTTGTTTATGCAGGGCTGCCAGATTTCCTCTTCTTCTTGGCACAGGGTCACAGCTTTCATGCCTCCTTGTCTGTCTTTATTAACACCAATTCCTTTTTATCACTGCGCAGTGCCGCAGAGTTTCTCAGTGGGTTTTACGTTCCACCCAGGCCGTATATAAATTCTTAGCAATGCTACCAACAGTGCCAGAAATGGACACTTCTTCAGTCTGATGCTGTTTCTGGTTAAGGAATCCATCAGCACAAGCCAGGCCCTTGGTTTCTAAGCACAGTTGCTTAATCCTGCCCCCAGATCTGGGACTTGGGAGCTGTCTCGAAATGTGTTTGCTTTTCTGTCTAGTAACCGTTGCAGCTGCCTCCTCTTTAGAGCCAAAGTGTGAAGCAGACACAGGGAAGAGCTGCCCGCCCCCAGCAGGGATAAGGATGAGGCCCCAGGACCAGTGCAGCCTCTGCAGGTACAGAGCAGTGGGCTCAAACCCTGCCGTGTGCCTGGGGCCATGGCACCAAGCCACGCACAGCACAGCCTGCTGGGCATGCAGCGGTGCGTGCAGAGCCGTGCACTGCCCCACAGTAACACCTCTTCTTTTCCTGCCCCAGCCAGCAACCAGTGGTTGAAGCACTGCGGCACTTGGATGCTCCTTTCCCAGCATATGGCATGAGCACACCCGCAGTGAAAACAATGCAGGCCACGTCTGATCTCCAACACAGCGCGTTTTTGCGGGTAAGAATAATTTCTGTATCTCAAATGCTAGGAATTTCCTGCGAATGAGAGGGATCAGTTAAAGGAAAGTAGGTTTAACTAGATACTCTGCATGCCTAATTGCAGATAAACATAGGGTGCAAAATACATTATTCAACGAGAAGCGTGAAAGAGACTTATTGTGATGAGTGATCTGGAGCAACGCAGCTCAGCTTTGTGCTTTTTTCTCTAAATGAAATTTCTCGAGTCCTTGCTCCTCACCGTAGGTATCTTTGCATATTTCTTAAAGGGCAAAGGAAAAAAAAAAGCTCACAATGAGTCATTAAACTTTCAAATGAGTCATCTGGCTTTCAGTAAAACATGTGTAAAAATATTACTAATTTACAAACAATATCCAGTGTAACACAATGGGTCCAAAAAAGATGGATCTAAAAATGAGGCAATACCATAAAAGACACAAGGTCAGGTCAAACTCGGCCACGAGATCGACCAATACAAGTGTTCCCATGGCTGGTTTTCTTTTCTTTTCTTTTTTTTTTTTTTCTTTTTAAACCCCCAGAGAATACTTTTCTACAAACAAATATTGCCTATGCAGCGCTAGCAACACAAACAGGCGAATGCCTCTGGGAGCAGAGTGGATCCTAGCAGGAAGCAGAAGTAAACACCAAGACAACCCGTGTGTCTTTAAAACCATTGCATGTTTCAACTGCAATGCAAAACCTAAACTAATGGAATAAATACTGACAAGCAAACGTTTTTAAACATTCGGTTGAAATGATCTCAAGCACCGATGTGCGTAGGGCAAAACAGGATGCGTGTGTGTCCACCTGATAAATCCAACTAAAAAGTGGTTTAAATGAGCAGGGGAAGATCATCTAGGTCTGATTTCACTTTTCACGTGCTTTCCCTCCATTTCTGCAGGGGAACTATTCACTATTGTCTCTTAATTTCTGATTCGTTTGCTTGTTCTGCACACCTGCCATCATTTTAGCAATTTCACTGCATCTGTCCCGAATTTTTTGTGAACGTGTTTTGAGATTTGAGAAAATGAAACACTTTAGAAAAATCAGAAAAAGCAATTTGGGGATGTAAGGGTTCTCTCTTTCACAACTTGGGTGTTTTTCTCCCCTTTGCATTACAAGATTTTAAAGACAGAAACCGTTCGTCTTGTCTGTAAGGGATGAAACCCTGAACAATTCTGTTGTCTTATTGGAGAGGAGTCCATGAGGGGCAGACCTGCAGGGCACATCCTGCAAACTGCAAATGAATTGGATGTGGGGCTTTTGGGTGCCAGCTGCCAGGGGGAATGGGACCGAGAGCAGCAACAGTTTCTGTGCAGAGGAATGGGCAGCTCATGAGACAGACCTCCTTTGGGAAAAGAAGATCTGCTTCTGATCTGCAACGCCATGAAAGAAAGTGGCAGAATGTACATATTTGTTGGAAAAACAGTATTTTTTTGAAGACTGGGATTTGTAGTTTCGGAGTTTCCTCCCCTGCAATTCATATTCAAGGATGACCCAAGTGCCCATTAACAATCAAACCACTGCGCAGCAACCCGGGAGCCTCAGCAATTATGAAGATAATGGTGCCCTCCTCCTCTGCCTCCTCTCCTGAGGGATGGGGGAAGGGCAGAGAGCACAGGGGAAACAGAAAATCAGCAAATAGAATGATAATGTCATTCCCTTTAGCGACAGCAACAGAAAGCTGCAATTAGATTTCTCTGATCAAAATGCTAGATAAAAATCAAGAGAATTTTCTAAAGTAGATCTAAAGCATGAAGAATAACTCAGTTCATCTTTACTTAGAAGTCACCTCTGTGCAAAGCAGTGTGTGGGGTCTGTGTGCATGCAGTGCACGAAGCCCTTTGTGGCAGTTGTCTGCAGTACCCCGAGCTTGGATCACACCTCTGGTGGCCTCACACCTCCGCATCTGCTCAGGGTGTTTTCAGGGCTCCGTCACTGCTGGGAATTGTGGATTTACCACCCAAACGTGCTCAGAGCAGGGCTGCTGCCTCTGTCTGCATGCCAGCATGCTGTGTGATGCAGTTTGAGCAGAGGTGCTGAGCACGGAGCTGCTCCAGAGGGCTGGCTCCATGTGAGGCTCAGCCCCGCTGCATTACCTTGCACAATGATGAACTCAGGGAACCATGGATTGATACTCACTTAGGAACTGGCACCCGAATTAGTGTCCCATCCACTTCTGGGTTCAGGTTCATTCCGCTCTCCCTTATAGCCTTCATAGCTGCAGCTGTGCTCTGTAAAACAGATCAAAAGGTAAAAAGAATTAGGAAATAATCATTCCCATATGCCAGAACTCTGTCAATAGTTGGCAATCCATCTCCACAGAACATGGAAACATTTACTTCTGTTACCAGTAAGATCAGGAAGTTACATTGGTGTGGAGAGCTTTGATCAAACTGAATGGGAAACTATGGCTGCACTCAGTGTCGGGGTAGCGAGGGTACCAAGGGGGGAGAGGGGAAGGGGAAGCAACAACAGAAGAAAATGTTTTGCTTCTTTGAAACTATTCGAATGGTTTGAGGCAATGCAGAGTGAAACCACAATAAATTCCCAAGGCATGGCCTGACTGTGGCAAAGGAGATGAAAGATTCTCAGCATTTAAAAATTCCAGTTGAATGTTTTCCACTAGGAATCACACAGAACCCATTTAGAAATGTTAACTAACTTAACCACTTCAGCACTACAACGTAATCTCATTACATCACAGCAGTAGCAGTTGGCTGAGAAGCAGAGCCTGTGCCCAGCTCTGTGTTTATTTTACAGCCTATTACTTAGGATTAACTTTTCAAAAAACTCCATCACAGCTGGCTGATGCTGCTCTGCCTGAAAGGTGAGGTGTGCAGGTTTGCCTGCTAATTGCAAAGTGATTAAAATGCTTCCCCCCTCACCTTAAGAGCACTGCTGTACCTTCACGGTGTCAAATGTTATGGTTAAGTAACAGTTCTGCTGAGAACTGCAACAGCACTCTGCCAGTTTGTTTCATTCTCTGAGGCTGACAATAACAAGACTGGGCTGGTCTGCGCTCCTTTGGCACTAGCATGGCATTTCCTACAAGGAGCATTGCTAGTTCTGATGTTCTTTCCTATTGTTAACTTGAGCTCCAGGTTACTGCAGTAGATCGCACTTATGAAGTTCAGCTTTTATCAACTGAGGCACAAACTAAAGCTTTGCCAATGTTTTGTGAGATATAACTGCCCCACTCAGAAACGAAAGGAGCAGAGAAAATGTGACAGAAGTGATTTTGGTGTGTTAGGACCATCAGTGTGTTATTCTGTGGGCAGAACTTGCTCTGCAGGAAGAAAATGCTCAGTAAAAGCTGTATCGTAAATCCTCTTCTATAATTATTTTCAGGGATTGGTATTTGCTTTCCAATGCTAGAAAGTATTGGCGATCTGCTGTACGTAATGATATGGAGTAGTAGTGTGTGTAGTGTTATCAAGGAGTTCCATCTGCCTATGAAACAGTTACGGTATAAAACAATTGCATTGAGAGAAATAGCTCCAGCTCAGGTGAAAAACAATCCTTTGGCTTGGGAAGCAAACACAGGCAACACATGGCTAATCTGACTCTGTTGCTTGTGTACCCATTTCTCAGCCCATCCTCCTGCCTGGATGCAGGCAAAGCCACGGTATGGCTTCTCTCAGTTGTGGCACTCAGTGCACTCCCTGATGGGGAGTTTTCATTCTTCCAAGTTACACAACCTGGGTACTCTTCAGGAAACACTTAGGCATCAAGTGCCTTATGCTGACCTCCTCTGAGACTCTGTCAGCTTAAGTGGAGAAGGCACATGGCACAGTCTGCAGCGAAATACAGCTTGTGTCAGCCAAGGAGCGACAGTGTTGTCTGAGCTCTTAGCCCCTGTCCAGTGTCACTGCTTTTATCCACCTGTTTCTTTGCTCAGCATCAACCTGTTTGTTCCCATGGTAAGTACCTCCCCTTGCCACACCTCCAGAAACGTGTCCTTACCTCTGGAAAATTGGTCATGTTCACTACAATGAGCTGAGGAGACTTCTGTGAGATCTGCCCCAGCTGGTTCAGTGGAAACTTCCCATCTTTTGTCGTGACAGTGATGTGGTCAAGGGCCCCTCGAAAGAACCAAACACAAGGGAACGTCAGCATGACACCACAGCTCGGGATGATGCTGTAGTACAAATACAGTGTCTCATTTCCCTCCCTTGTGCCAAATACAGATGTTACAAAATAAAAAGATGATGTATGCTGCTTGTGTTTCTGCATCCCTTGTGTTTGTAAAATATTTCAGCGTTAGGGCACAAAAACATGAAAACAAATCTTCTGTTTCTGTTACTAGAATAGGAAAACTAAACAAAGATTGTGAAGAATTAGGAGGAAATAATTATTTTTTAATACTTAGAAGTTAAAGAAGATCAAGATGTTATTATAAAAGTCAAGAAAACTACTGTCTTGAATGGAGCAATGTTCCCTTAAACCCCTCTTTTTTTTTTTTTCCAGGTCCCAAGAGGAGGTGCTATCCACTACTTAATTGAGAGTATTCTGTTTCTCCCTGAGCTGCTCTTAATCTGCTCTCTCATTTCTGCTGCAAAATGTTAACAGACCAAAAGGCACACGGGACAGGAGGTACTTTATCAGCGCAGTTAAAAAAAAAAACACCTATGGCTAAAATAAACAGTTAAGAGACTGAGCAACACGTTCCAGCCCTACAAAAGACTGCAGTGCCCTTTGCCAGAGCTGGAGTGGTGGATGATTCAAATTTGGTCATTGTTTAATATTACACTTTATCCCTGAAACTTGATACTACTTAAAAATACATATGTTCAGTGTTATAGTAACTGTAGCTTAGTCAAACATATTCATGATCCTTCCTGAAACACACAATTCACTCAGTGAATAAAGCTTGTAAAGGTCAGTAACCACAAAGATGCATAGCAAAAAAAGTTTGTACACGTCAGACACCAGTCTGATGGCAATTTTCAAAAGGCTAATTTAATGGCAATTGGATTTTTCCTGCCCTACTGCACCATTAGCTGACAACCTGCTTCTTCATCACATCTGCAAACAGTTCAGTTAGACACTTTTGACATCTCCCACTTAGAAAAGCTATTTCCAGGAAGCTATTAACAAAAATGGATTCTTCCTGGTCAAGCTCAGGGTGAAGAGAGCCTTTAGTAAGGGATGTCAAGGTTGTAGTAATTGGGTGCCCAGTGTATAACTCAATAAAAAGAAAATCAATTTTGGAAAAAAAAAAACAAAACAAAACCCCAGCAACAGAGCATTGTACAAAAAATGTACCAACCTTGTGAGGTTCTGACATTGAGATTTCTGTTGAAATCTTCTTTCAGAGCTTCTACCACTGCCTGCATGTCTGTGTTGGTTTCCTCCAAATTGATAATATCCTCAACCAAGGCAGCACTGATGTTCACTTTGGCTTGTGTCTGCCCTTTACCTTTAGCTGCACATTACACATAGAATTAATTTCAGTTTCTCACAATAACTCAACTACTTTAGAGATTAGAAAGAAGACGTTACAACTGATGTTAAATTCAGAGTTGAGTCCAAGATAAACAGACATTCTTTAGCGGGTAAATAGCCCAGCAATTCAGAGCACAAACCAAAATAGATGAGAAGCTCGTGCTACACACGCCAGCTCTAGCTGGGACTGCGATGACAGCCACATACTGCCCTGCTGCAACAGCAGCTCCCCGAGGTGGGTATCTGGCATCACGGACGGGGGGTGCAAACACCACTGGATGCTGCTGCTTTACCTTTTTTGGTGGCCAGCGGCCTGGCCAGCAGCAACGGGTGGACACATTGCCTGCAGCCATCCAGGAGCAGAGCTGTGCAGCGTGCTGGGGGCTGCGGCAGCCGCCTCACCACTGCAAGTGAAGAGCAATGAAGCAGGGAGTGCAGATGCCTAAAGCATCGTAATGCCATAGCCATTGGTTACCTGTAAAGGGAAGAAGTAGGTGGGTCAGCGTGCTAAAAGGAAAAGGCTTCAAACCTGAGGTGTGTGTGTCTGTGTGTGCGTGCCAGCAGTCAGCACTGCAGGGCTGGCTATTTGTGCACCACTTAAACAGAACTTCAAGTTCTGCCGCTCTAGGATGGAGGCTCCAAAGCCCTCCTTAATGCTCCCCTTAATCACAAGTATGGCTCTAAGGCTGCGTCCAGCCACAGCGCTGCTCTGTGCCTCGAACCCAAATGAAACCGCACAGCAGCCCTCGCCGCGGCACGTGCGCCCAAGCCCGCCCCCACCCCAGGCCACACCCCATCCCGGGCCACGCCCCCATCCCGGGCCCCGCCCCCGGCATTTGCCCATCAGGCCCTGCCCCCTGCACTCGGCCCCTTCTCCCACACCCTGTGGACGCCCCGCCCGGTGCCCCGCAGCGCCCAGTCTGCCTCGCTGCGGTTCCGCGGTGCAAAGCGACACAGCGTGGCCCGAACGGAGCGGAGCCGGGCCGAGCCGGGGTCCGGGAGTGGCAACAGAGGAGGGCGGGTGTCCGCAGCATTGCTCACCGTCGCGCCGAGCCGCCGTCATCAAACGGCGCCCGCCTGTGGCGTCATCAATGTGCGCCAAGGGCGGGGCGAGGCCTGTGCGAGGCCGGGGATGGTGAGGGGCGGCCCCGCGCCGCCATGGAGCCGGAACGACAGGCGTTACCGCTGGAGAACGCCGCCATCCTGTCCGAGGGCGCCCTGCAGGACGGGCACCGCCTCTGGATCGGCAACCTCGACCCCAAGATCACCGAGTGGGGGGGGGGGGGGGGGGGGGGGCGACCGAGTGGCTGTGCGGGCCCGGCGCCGCCCTCCCTGCGGCACCGCCCCGCGTCCCCCCGCGGAGCCGCGCTGCGCGGAGCGCCCGTTACCGGCGCCCCCCCTCCCAGCACCCGTTCCCCTTCTCCTGGGCTGCCCTCTGTGGTCTCCTCGTACTCGCTCGCCCGCGGCTCCGCTCTCAGCCCCGCCCCGGGTGCGGGTGCGCAGTTGCCCCCGGCCGCGCTCCACATTCGGCTGGTGGCCCCGGGGCTGGGAACGGCTCCGTTTGCCCGCCTGGGGTGGGGGTAGAACCGTGCATGTGCCCCGTTCCCTGAGGGGTGACCGGGGTTCCATTTGTTGTTGTGTTCCGTCCGTGGGTGTGGGGTGGGCGGGGAGGACAGGCAGGCGCTGCAGTGAGCACCTGGTATCCCCTGCAGGTAACGAGATCTTAGCCACTGTAATACTCAAACCGCAGAACTACAGTAGGGGTTGCTGCCCAGTATTTGGGTGGTGTGCTAAGAAGTGACAAACCCACACAGAGCAACGTGGGGTTTACACTTCTCTAGAAACAAGCATTTTTGATTAACTGTTGTGCATACTCTCATAGAATACTGTTTTCTCCTTCCATCTCTGCATGTGCGCAGGTGGTAGGGCTCTATTCTAAGTGTGGTTCATCTTAACAGAGCAGTTCTCTGCTAGCCTCTAAATGGAATCATTAATGCATTGTGCTTTACAGCCATTCAGTTTTGGGTGGTTTTACATTAATTACCGTTTCTGTCCCACAGCTCTGTTGCTTTGGTTTGTTCACACTCACGTATGGGACTTAGCATGTTTACAGGTCCTTAAGGATTCAGGAGATTGGGCTGGTGCAAGGGGGAAACTGTGGGTGTTTGTAAATGCATCGGATCCTTCATGTTTTGGGGTTAATGGTGTCGTTAAAGATTCTTTCACTCTATGTTTCTCTGAATCTAGGCCAGGCAAGCAGCAGCTTCATGTGAAATGATTCCATACCATTAATCTTAGTGTTTAAAGTTTGCCCAGCAATGGGTGACAGTGCTCGTTGCCCGTAACAGGGTTGTATTTCTGGCTGGAGATTTGTGTTGGGCTTTTGGTTTTGCTTTAGTAATGTCTATACTCCACTGAAAAAAAAATAAATACTATAATCTGTTTCATTCTGAAAAAAATAAAGAAAATTCCTTTTAATGCATTGTCAGCATAGAGAAAGTAATGTTTCTGTATCAGTTCAGTAAATTCTTATAAATCAGCCTGACCCTTGCTTTCTTATCCTAAAGGCTCACAGCTCTGCTTATGCTTGCTTGTCTGAATAATCCCTGTTGAGCTTACTAATTGTGTGACTAAAAACACATACCTGAAAGCTAAATAGCTGTTTCTTCATTTGCTGCTTTTATCTGATTTTAAAGGGTTGCCCCTGCAATTTTCATGTTAGATTTGCTTAAGATGGAGTAAAGTTGATTGGTTGTTAGTAGGGTTAATAACTGGTTGTGACTTTCTTGAGCAGAAACGAGTTCAGAAAGTCTTGAATTAATCCAAGACTTCCATTTAGAGAGCAACCTATAACTGCAATCAAGCACTGGGGAGTTAATAGGTAACGTATACATTTGAGTGCAAGCTGTGGTAATAGGAATTCATGAATGTAGGGCCGCCTACAAATTACAGCCTGTAAGCTGGTGGCTTATGGGAGGTTATTGCACTGAGCAGCTGTGACTCAAATGGGAGTCTCCAAGGGTGTCAGTTGTTGTCATACCTACTTGTTGGGGTTTGATGCGTCTTCTGGTGGGCTAGCTTCCCTGCCAGTGATGTTTACTTGGGTTATTTGTTTTATCTAGCATCCTGAGAACTGTTCTGCATATGGCAGCAGATAATGTTGGGGGTTGTCGCTGCTTAGCAGCTGGAAGGAGGCGAGCTGGCACCGCGTGTCCACACAGCAGGCTGTGGTGTGGGATGTAATTTGTAGGCAGTTCCAGTGCTGAAGGATCCCTGCTTTGGGTTCTGCTGCAGTGGGGTGTGAGGAGGGCAGCGGGCGGTCAGTTCTGGTGTCACCTGCAGGGAATCCATTGGCTCCCTGCTGTCACTGCCAGCATGGCCTGGTGCAGCACTTGTCCCCTGGTGCGCTGGGAGATGCTTTGTGCTGTGCCCTTTGCTCACCTCACTGCTTTGTGACTTCTGTTGCACCTCCTGTGTGGCACGTGGAGTCAAACTGCCTGCTCTGCTAATTCCTGTGTGTAAAGCTTTTGGAGGCTTAAGTTTCTGTCCGCCCAAAACACGGCACTTCCAGTACTGCAGTTATACGTATGTTATCTGGTTTCTAGTAGCCTTTGAATGACTGTTAATGACCTGTAGGTATGAAATAGTGGATGTTCAGCTTCCTTGGCTGTTCAGCTGCTTGTCTACGATCCCATCTTGATGAGTCTCACCTAGAAAACAATGTGTGCATGAGTTGTTGTTAGAGACTCCTACTGACTCCCAGTGGGGCAAAATTCTTTGCAATAATAGGTTTAGCATGTGGCCCGGTACCTTTGCAGTATCCTTGGGATAGCATTGTTCAGAGGAAGCCTTGCCTGTGTTTGAATAGCACTCAGGGTGCCAGGAGGAAGACTGGAGGAAAAGGAAATGGGGGAGCTGCGGGTTTGTCTTGCATTCACATCAGATGACAGGAAGTGGAAATTGAGGTTGGCTGTGGTGATCTTTGGGGCCACATCTGTGCGAATAACTCTTAAGCTCTGGATAAGCAGAGTCACTGCCATAATAAAGCTTTTTACACGTTCACACTTCTTCAATAAACATTTCAAGTTTTCCGTGACAGGTCTTCCTTCAGTGCTGAAGTCGTCTTTGTGTGGGGATAACAGTCAAGTTACTCTCAATGCCTCACTGTATTAACAATAGATTATAACCAAAGCCTGGAGCTTCTAGTGACACACAGCTTCGTTTGGAGCTGCTCCTTGCGGAGGAGATAACTTGCATTGTTAAAAATTGCATGTGTGGTTTGAAAATCATGCTTGTATCATCTAGATCTAAAGATTCTGAATGAAATTGGCTACATAGGTTGCTTCCAAACTCTTCTACTAAAATGCTTTTTAAAGGAATGGCTACGACTTGCTGCCAAGGAAGCAGAAATGCGTTATTTGTTGGTTGCAGCGGTTCCCGGGTTGGGAGTTGGAGCCAACAGCATGAATTGTTCCTTTGGCAGAGTAGTTGCAGGGAGTTTTGTTGTTGGGAAATAAAATGTGGTGAGGATCATCGCTGCCCTTCCCGTGACTCTGTAATTGCAGGAGAAGGGAACCTGGCCCTCCTGCATCGCTGGGCTGAGCGCCTGCTGTACCTTCACCTCTCTAAAAGTGCACATCCTGAACGCTCGCCGTGGCTGTCCTGTGACATGACTCACATTCCTGGAACTTTCTTGCCTGCCTCCTGAAGCTTAACAAAGGGCAATTGCTTGTTTCGAACATCCTATCAGGCTTTATTAGGAAAAGTATTGTCTGCTTGGGCTGTCCCTGAAGTTACCTGATGCGTTCAGTGTCTTGGGACACTGCTGATTGCTTGCACCAGGACATGCCTCGTCCTGGCCAGTGCCTGCTGGTTCGTGTGCAGAGGGAGTTACCCTGATGAGCTTCCAGAGCTCCGAGCATTCTCTCATCTGGGAAGCTGGGAATTGAGCTTAGGCTGCGTGGCTCGCTAACTAACCCTGTACTGCTAATCAGGAGGGGTTGAGTCCTAAGATGCCCTCATTAAACCCTCAGACAATTCTTAATCTCTGGGTTGGAAGTCAATTGGTGAAATAGTGACAGGTGTGATTTGCCTGCTAGGTCAACTGGCACTATTAAACACTGGGGTCAAGGGAACCAAAAAAGCTGCAAGGAACTTTCGAGGTTAGATGTGTCTGTACAACATATGTGCTCCTTGTTCAACATTGCTTAGTGCACCAAGTGCTAAGCATACAAGTTTAGTTGAGTTTTTCCCAAGTTTTATTAAAAAAAAAGAAAAAAGCACACTCCCCACTGAATGGCAGGAGTGTCTGACTTCTGTGTGCATGTCACTGGAAAGCTGGCTGAGCCAGGGATGCTTAATTTTGCCTGACCCGTACTGAGGTCTGGTGCTGTTTCCACCTGGTCTGCTGTCAGCTCCTGGTTGTGGTTCTGCTCATCTTGCCTTCCTGCTTCCCAGCTCCTCCAGGCAGGTGGGAACAGGACTGTGTTTTCAGCCATGTCCTTGTCAGCACGCTGATACAGCTTGGCACAGGGAAGGGATGGGAGCAGCTTTGCTCATGTGCGCACAGGGAGGGCAGCAAGAACTGCAGGCGCTGTGGGCTGGGACTGCTTGTGCAGAGAGAGGGATCAGATGGAGCTTCAGATAGTCATGGCAGGGCTGGAGAGGGGCAGTGTTTATGCTTGGAAGTAGGTGTGATTTCTAGAAAGACAAGAGGCAGAGTCCTCCAGCCGCATAGGGAGCTGTTAGGTAATTGTCCCAAAAAACCAGCTATGAATAGATCTGCTGCTCACTCTTCAGCTGGCACTGCTGGGAGGAAGGCTTTGGGGTGTAGGGCTGTCACTGATGAGGCCGGGCAGCTCAGGGCTGCGGTTGTGTAATGGATGTCCACCTCTGCGTGTATTTGGGAATTCCTGTGTGACTGAACTGAACCATTTGTGTGACTGAGCTTGAAATGCGTGTCTCCATCGCTGTACTTTCCAAGTACTGAAAGGTGCCGTTCATCTTTG